TGTATATTCATTTGATATTGCTGCTTCAACAGTACTATAACAGTACTACAACTTCTGGAAGAATATACCTTATAATATAAGAGTAAAGCATATATATATATATATTATATTATTAAATATTATATAATACATATTATATAATACAATATTATATTATACAATATTTATTTCTAATGTATTTTGTATCTTTTTAGCATTGGTTATCGTAAGATACAGAAAGAAATTTTAAAGAGTCCAGGCCCAGCCACGTATATCAAAATAAATTATGATATGATAAAACGACGAAGTCCGGCATATAGTCTAAAGGGAAGACACTTTTTATCAGAAAGATATCGCAGTCCTGCACCAGTCTTTTATCCATTGTATGATACACGAAAACGTTCACCTATGTATTCATTTGGTATAAAACATAGTGAATGCGCCGGAGTACCTATGACACAGCTAGATGAGGATTAATTTTATAATTAAATATTGTATATAAACATTTTGTTATAGTATTTTTTATATTTGCATAATAAATGCGACTATGCGCATACATTACGGTATAATAATATAATAGTGTAGCACACACTACTCGACAAAATCTAGCGAGCAATAAAAACTGGCTACCGATTTTTATTATAGATCTCTCATCATAAAATCATTGAACTTTTTCTAATGTTCATTCTCTAATGTTTAAGACTTTATAGAAAAAAAAATATTAGCATTAAGAAAGATAGAAAAATTTTCAATTTAAAAAAAGTTAATAAATTAAAGTTTAAAAGTAACTAAATTAAGTTAAAAATTAATGCATTTAAAATTAACTAAGTTAAGTTAAAAGTTATTAACTTTTTAACTTTTTTTTTTAACTTTTAACGTTTCAACTAGTTACTACTCAACCCTGCTATTGCCATTATGCGCAATGTTTCACCTTATATTCTTTCCACCATGATAGTATGAGCAAACGAAGGGTTCAGCTTTGTTCTGCGTTGCCTGTAAAATCAAGAATATAGCGGATTGTCATAGCTTAAAATTGTGGCGATGATGATTGAGACACAATAAACTACGATTGAGAGCTGAGTGAATATTGTATATAATTACACATATTAAGATGAATAAAATAGATGGAATCTCTTGTATTTTTGCTATATGCAAAAATATTAATAGAGGGGCTGGAAACAAAATAAGTTTTTTTCGATTTTTTAAGGATATTGAAAGATACGTGTCCACTGGGACATAAAACATCTTTAAGATCTCTTCCCAGTTACAAATGATTATAGAATCAACATCGATTCGATATCATTCAAATTCAGCGATCTGTAAAACTCTCAACATGTCTCACAGTCATGTGATCGGTGACCACTGACATCAAAGAAGCCAACAGCTACTGTCACTACTGTATATGATTATACTGTGATTGAGATCCGGATAGAGTTAAATTAAATATAGCTTTTTCTACGTATTAAACAAAAAAAAAAGTAAAAGTGCCGGCCACTCAATGTCCTCCAACCTCATTTACAGCCGCTGCAATTAGTAATATGTAATTGTTACTAGAAACACAAGCTTACATAGCCCTGAGGATTTATTCTTGAACTCGTTCGCAATGTTAAGAGTGCGCACAGTTCGAATGATGAAAATACATATACGTTTCTAATACGATATTGTTGAACATTAATAAATAGTACTCATAATTGGAAACATATTCGGTTGATTTACGTTTGGCAACGTCGAAAAATATATGTATTTTCTACAAATATCATTCAGAAATACGTCGTGTACAAAAAGATAGTACTTCATATTTTTATATTAATTGATAGAATCTTTAGAAAAACTGTATATATACATAAAAATATTTTAGTTAAAAATTTGTTATAATTTTTTATTAGCCCATACATATGAGACCATTTTTATGTCAACAAAAGATGTACAATATTATTGTACTTAATGTATAAGTTAGAATTAAAGGTGAAATAATCGGCCTTAATATTGTATATAATAAAATTGTAACAATCTTCTACGTATAATTATCATCTATATTTTCTAAAAAAATAACTATAATAGACCAATTATAGAATTATTAATAAAACAACTTACACTTTAGTCTGTGAAATTTAAAATAAAACCTATACATATAAATCATATAACTAGATTGACTGCGTTCAGCCAGAAAACGCAACTTAAAGGGATGCTGGAGCGAAAGCTGAAGTTAATCAAAGTCGATATTTTTTATTTCCAATGTATAAGATGCTTACGCCCTCTGAGTTAATATGATCATGTAGGAAATTCGATCGATTAATTATCGATATTTTTATTCCGTTTCCTACATTACCATCTTAGCAGGGACGTGTATTAGGGTCGGTTCCACAAATGTAAAATTTATTTTGGAAAATTTTCCAATTTTAGAATTGAGAAAAAAATAAACCGTAATGGAAGTTAATTTTATATTTGTAGAATCGGATCTTAGAAATACAGTTGTATTATGTACACATGCAATAGGCCGTGTCCCAATATATACCACCAGTATTAAAAATCTGTAATATACATAAAGTACAGATTTTTAACTTTAATAGTTATATCGACACGAAGCCGTAGTAGCACTTTTTCCTTACGTCCAATTGTCCATTTTAGGTAATAATAATATAGTATCAATAAATGAATAC